CATTGCACCAAGCAAAAATCAATCGAAATCATCACAAAAAGTAAAGATCAAGCGCCTAACAAGGTCTCCGCGCGTTAATTCGAATGGTTTGTTTTTCCCCACGGCATAAACGGTTATGACGTTTTTGTGGGCGTTCCCAGCAATGCCGAACAAGTCTATTAAGTGCATTAACAAACTGGGGAAAATATGGTGTAGAAACAAACTTCATTTAGAAATTTATAGTCAATTTTACAAATAATTGGGTCAAAGATAACACATCACATTTTGGTGTCCGCATCAAATTAAATTCACAAAAGTGATTTTATATACATAGAAAGCATCTCAAATGCAAGTGAAGTGTCTACTTGAATGTCTTTTAATATCATCTAATGATTCTTGATGTAAATATGCCTGATATGTTTTTTTTTTGTTATATGATCTATTGTTACACTGAATGACATTTTAGTGGGCGCCTTCTGTAAATCATGGTAAAATTGTATAATAGTCATATATTATTATTATAATATATTATTATTATTGTATAATAATTTTTGCTCAGAAAAAAAAAAAAATTAAACAAGACACATTCAAATGAACAAAAAATATTAATAACAAAAGCTGTATTTAACTTTTATTGTTTTGATGCTAAAAACCACTATCTGTCCTTGACCCAATTACAAAGAATCAGCAAGTAACACATCGAATTAAAGGTGAATCTGTTAAGTAGAAAGACTGAAATGGTATTTTCTTGTAAAACATACTCCAATAATCTTTGTTATACTTAAAATAAATAAATAAAAAAAACACCTGTTTGTTTGCCCTCTTAGATTTTTCAACACCGTACATTCTGGGATTGCCTTCTCTGTATGTTATCAGCTATTGCATGTATGATGCCTTATAATGGTGCCTAGATTGGTAGCTCACTAGTTATTACAACAGAGTCAGAGAGTCACAAAGGGGTGAAAGGCCTCAGTATAATCAGCTGACAAAAGTGGCATTTCTAGAGTTACTCTCACACAAACTGCTGCTAAAACAGAGACTGACTTCAAACGCTGGGTTTACACCGTCTACACTGAGCTGTGAGGAGTTATCAGGGTCACGCTGGTGACAAAACACAGACAGACCAACACGCTCTGCTTTATTTACACACACACACACACACACGTGGCGTGAAGGTCAGCGTATTGTTGTGATGCTCAACATAACTACCTGTCAGAATGAAAGCACGAGTGTCATGCCGATGATGCATTTACACGCTCTCTCAGCGGTTCTTCTTCAAATAGACCCATGTACACTTGCTTTACCCTTGATCAAGAGCTCACGGATCCACATTCTTCATCCAGCAAAGCTAATCTCTGTTTCAAAACCCATAGCAAAACGCCTGCCAAAAAGTAGGTTGTAGGTTCAAATGCAGCAAAAGCTGACCATGAACAATAACAATTGTGTCCTTGAGCAAGACTCTTATCTGAACCTATAATAAATGCACTGCATGATTAATGTGTGATTATAGTCGTTATGAGGCACAAAACACACCTGTTTGAAACTCGCTGCGATTCAAAACTCAAACACACACACACACACACACACAGAAGGTCTGAAGTGAAGTATCTGACACCATCATGAGAGCTGCCCGGCCCGGCCCTGCGGCAGGACTAACCTGTCATTACTGCTGTTTACTAAGGCAGAATTACCATTACTATTGCTCATACTTAAACATTAGGGATTAGGAAGAAAACCACATTCAATTTAACTCTCTCTGTGTGTACGTGTGAGCATATTCTTTACCCCTTCTGCTCCAGATATGAATTACATGATATATGTGACCCTGGAGCACAAAACCGGTCATAAGTCGCACAGATAGCCAACAATACATTGTATGGGTCTAAATGATCGATTTTTCTTTTGTGCCAAAAATCATTAGGATATTAAGTAAAGATCATGTTCCATGAAGATATTTTGTAAATTTCCTACTTTAAAAGCGATTTTCTTCATATTTATACATGATATATGTGACCCTGGAGCACAAAACCGGTCATAAGTCGTACAGATAGCCAACAATACATTGTATGGGTCTAAATGATCGATTTTTTTTTTGTGCCAAAAATCATTAGGATATTAAGTAAAGATCATGTTCCATGAAGATATTTTGTAAATTTCCTACAGTAAATATATCAAAACTAAATTTTTGATTGCTAAGGGCTTTATTTGGACAACTTTAAAAGCGATTTTCTTCATATTTAGATTTTTTTGCACCCTCAGATTCCAGATTTTCAAATAGTTGTGTCTCGGCCAAATATTGTCCGATCCTAACATACCCATAACAACCATACATTAATGGAAAGCTTATTTATTCAGCTTTCAGATGATGCATAAATCTCAATTTCAAAAAATTGACCCTTATGACTGGTTTTGTGGCCCAGGGTCACATATACAAACTGTACAAACCTTAGTTTTTATAAATACATGTGTTGGCATGTAATAAATTAATCTTTGTGGGGTTTGAAACTATAACCTTTCAGTTCACAGTCCATATGTCAACCACTAAACTAACGCAACATGAAAACACTTTTATTATTCCGTTTATCGTTCAAACGCTTCCACACAAACTCTCTCTCTCACCCTCTCGCCGCTTCCAGACTCTTGATGAGTTTCTTGATCTTCCAGATCTCCACATTTCTGTCCGCCGCGCTCGGATCATCTGCCATCTTCAGTCCTGGCTACAACAGCGGAGAGAAAGCGTCGGTGATCGGTGACTTGTCGCCCCTCTTCGCTCTCCAAGGCCGCACTAACTAAAAGTACCACAAAGACAAAGTACTATGGTATTACACTCATTTCTGACACGTACCCCGGAGGTGTTATTGTATTCTTCGAAGTAACTTACCATATAAATAGTATGGTACACGTCGAAGAACACTAACCGAGTACTCCAGATCCTCTTTAAAAGCCCATATAAACCTGTAACGTTACGTAACACATTTGTCCGTTATAAATACCTGACTGTCTCGCTCCGGTCCGCCGGTGTCGGTCAGTCGGTCTCTTCCACCCGCGTCACGCCGCCTGTTTATTCTACGTAGTAGAGCCTCTCCTCCATTGACATCCATTCAAAAAAAAAAAACGGCCTCTGGTCTCCTTTCGCACGTACTGCCAGACCAGAAGCGTTAGCTTTAGCCGTTACGCTTTTTCGGCTAATGGTTGCAGGCTTGCCTTCTAGTGGCTTTGGCCATGTGAGTGCAGCTTGTTTTCCTACAAGGGGCGCTCTGTGGCCCAGAGACGCGATTGAACCACATGAAAATCATTTCAAATATATATTTACAATTCTTCAGCAGCAGGGTTGAATAAAACAATCACACCTGAATAATGATACAAAGAAAGTTTTATACACAAAATACAGTGGAGAGTTATATCCGGGCCGCGCTAAGCCCCGCCTACTTTATATTTGCGTTCCATTCTAACCGCTTATTCTATTTCTACTGGTCAATGCGTCGTTCTGATTGGCTCAGAGTTGCGTCGGAAAGCGGAAATAAGCATAATTTAACCGCGAAGGAGTGCATAATTAATATATTTTTTTGTTATTCAATATAAATTATAGGTTTAAATAGCGTGATACATAACTATTGTATTTACTTAAAAACAATATTATCGAAGTACGTTTCCAATAATATTAAGAAGAAGAAAATTAAGCCTAGTTCCACAGTACTTTTGTCTTTCCTGGTAATTTTAGTTACAGATGTAGTCACTAAATTAATAAATTATAACATGCAATATATTAAAAATGGCGGTGATATGAGTGTATATAATGTAATAACCTGTCAATTTAGCTTATTTTATTCGTTGAAAAGGGTATATAATTTCTCCGTTTGTCGTGTGGTGCGTCTCATTGTCGCCAGCAGAGGGAGACATTGTGTCTCACATGTCGCTTTGTGTGAAATACAGTATTTTGCGATATATCCTAAACAACAGTGAAGGCAGTGAGAAATACTTGATAGATTTGGAATTGAAATATGAAGACTCTGTTTATTTGTTTAACAAGACGTTGTATATTTCGGTGTTTTTGCTGTGGTATTCAGGTTGAGTGTTTGCTGAAAACACAGGCAGCTCCAGCTGGACAGATTTGAACTGTTAGTGTTTCTTTTACAAGCCACCCAGTGCAGTTAATTAGTGCACACTATGCCTGTTGTCAGTTTAATCACTGAATAAAACATATACGTTTTAGGAAGTCTTACATATTAATAGAAGCATCTTAATTAATCCTCCATATTATGGTTGATATGTTCAGACTATTTTTATTAATTAAACAATACCTCTCCAAACCTACAGGGAATATTCTATTTATGTAAAGAAACTCCCATATGGTAAATTATATAGTTTTTCTGGCCAAAATATATGTTGTAAACAGTTACACTCAATGAAATATGTTTTTGAAGTTAATAATATATTTAGTCAATATTACAGCCAATCTTACAGTAGCATATAAGCTAAATGTGTTGATGACAACAAATGAAGTTTTTCCTTCAGATGTGACATATGTGAATGTATTCTCTTGGATTAAAATATATGGGGGGCAAAATAACTTTTTTTAGTGCTTTTAAAAATGTATTTACATTTTTAAAACATTTTCAAAAATGTAGCCAAATTAGGCCTATATTGGTAGAAAATATATTTATGTAAATATATTCTTAAATATATTTTAGCAAATATATTTTTTGGCCATTTTACTTTTGTATATTTTGAAATATATTTA